GAAACAAAACATATCAAAATAAAATATAGATTACATGGAAAAACAAAAAAAAATAAATAAATAAACATATTAGAAATGTTGCCACGAAAATTAAACAAATACTTTTAAGTTGCAGTATTAAAATAAAGCTAATTCAAAAATAATTATTATTATTGGAATAGTATATACATAATTGCATTGACAATTAAATTTATGTTATAAAAGTTTAAACTTACTAAAATTGGAAAAAAAGCTAAAAACAAGTATTAAAAAACTAATAAAATTGACAAAAGCACAAAACATAATTACTAAATCAGACTAAAATTAAAATGAAGACTGAAAATATAAAAATAAAGCTAATTCAAAATATTAATTCATATTGTAATAGCATATAAATTATGGTCTTGACAATTAAACAAACACGCTTAAGTTAAATAGAAATATAAAAAGTAATACAACTAACAAAAGCACATAACAAAATTATTAAAATGTACACTAAAATTAAAATGAAAACTGAAAATATAAAAAATAACCCCATTTCAAAATATTAATAATATAATAGTATATACATAATACTAAAATAACACTAATCAAACACTAATCAAAATTGTATGTGTAACACAAAAGAAGATTTTTATACAATGAAAGTGAATGGGGAACAGTGGAAAGCCCTGCTCAGCATTCAGTTTCATTTGGAGAAGAGAAGCTTGGACATTCTGCTAGATAACTCTTTTTTTATTTTTAGCTGAACTGTCCCTTTAACATTGGCCCAGAGGTGAAAAACAGTGTGTATATGTGTGTGTGTCTCAAACAAAGACAAACCCTGAGCACAACAGCATCAAGGCACTTACCAAGATTCCATAATCAGACAATTAATCGATCCTTAAACCAACAATTGGTAATAAACAAAGACAGCGTGGGTGGATGGTCAAGACAATGTTGTTAATGAAAATAATTGTTAACTGTTAATGAAATAGATAGAGGATAGAGGAAATAATTAGCAGCAGAGCGAGAGGACAGATAAAGCGGGGGAAGAGGGGAAGGGAGGGGGCCGGCTGTCCGCTGTGGCATGATTGCAGGTAAGAACAGTCTGAAATGTAGGGCAGAACTCTCACAACAATCGCCAACAGCACCATGGGGTGGAAACAAAATGGAGGACTGACATCGAAGATGTGTAAACTGATGTCAGTGTCAGCCGAGTGGAAGATTCACACTGAGGTGCAGGTCTCAGGTTTAGCACTCATTCCCACAAAAACAGAGACAGAACAGGGTGCACACACACACACACACACACACACACGTTTCTGAATGGTGCAGTCAGGAAATATACATGAGAAGAGTATGGGCAGGAAGTGACAGATTTGCTCTGTTCCCACCTCTAGGCGAGCTGCCTATCTAGACGACATTTTAAGAAGCGTTTTTGTCATGTGTACTTCAAAAGAAATATCCATTGCAATGAGCTCTATGAAAATTTTCAGAGATGGTGGGTGGAATAGAAAGAAATGTCAATTGCGTCAGGGTCCTGATCAAACAAAAGGGAAATCAGTTGCCTTGGGAAACAGTCAATTATTCAGTTTAGCTTCATTATACAAAAATATTTGACTTTAGAATGTCACAATGGACCAATCAGAGTTGAGTATTCCAGAGACCTGAGTAATACGTATTTTTTTTAGAACTGAAAAGTACTCAGTATTTGTATTTTTTGTTCATTAGAGTAACTGGCTTAGCAAAAATGGAAACATTAAGTTTTGTCAGAACAGTTTGAAGCAATATTTGCATGGTACGTGTGAGTGAGTGTTAAGGTACGACCACACTGGATATCGTGTTCATTTCCATTTATATCCATGCGTACGTGGGTGAGCGGAAATGCTATCGAATGCAAAGGAGGTTTGCCATGAACCAAAGTTCAAGTTTCTTGAACTCTGATCAGCCAATTCGTATAACAAAAAGGCATTTAACCAATAGAGGATGTGAAGCCACAGATTGACCTCCTGGCTCAATACACGGAATACAAACTTCAAAGTTTAATGGTAATGTGAAAGTAGGGGGGATTTTAACATTCAGATTATAATATTATTTGCGATTTATAAATTATTTAAAACAAAAGCCCGAGAGCATGACATTACACTCTGTTGGCCGCATTCATTGTGAGGTCCGAAATAATTTTGCATACTTAAGGTGTTTTGTAGTTTTTAGTCTGTTTGTTAGCTTTGATTTTATAGTGTACTCTTACAAAATGAATCTACTGTTCAAAAGTTTGAGGTTGGTAGTTTTTTTTTACGTCTTATGCTTTTATTTATTTGATAAAAATACAGTAAAATACAGTAAAACAGTAATATTGTGAACAGTTTAATAGTCTTCTATTTTAATATATTTTAAAAAATTCATAAAATCTGCATAAATAATAATAACAATAATAATGGTAACGGTTTACAATAAGGTTAATTAGTTAACATTCTTTAACTACTTTAGTTAACATGAACTAAGCATGAACAATACTTCTACAGCATTTATTAATCTTAGTTCATGTTAATTTCAACATTTACTAATGCACTATTAGAATCAAAAGTGCTTGTTAACATTAGTTAATGCACTGTGAATTAACATGAACTAACAATGAACGACTGGATTTTCAGTAACTAACATTAACAAAGATTAATAAATACTATAATAAATGTATTCTTCATTGTTTGTTCATGTTAGTTAATAAATTAACTAATATTAACTAATGGAACCTTATTGTAACGTGTTACCGTAATAATAATAATCTTACTGATCACAAACCTTTGAACGTTACTGCATTCACATTTTTGGCCAATAAAATCCTATTTAAAATGAGTATATCCCCTCCTTCTGAAACCATCTTCCATGGACTTACAATAGTAAGCAACAAATAATGTTGATGTTGAATGGCTGTGATGTAATGTCAAGGCTATTGGCTATTTAAAAAAACGATGAGCCTTTCCATATTCCCTGCCCTTACTTCCTGTTTCAACAGGAAATGTGTCAACACTGGAAAGAAAATTGCACTTTTAAGCCATTTTATGGGGTCTTGAAGGCCTAGTATGACCACATTCTCATTACAGTCGCTGCCTATGTAGAGAACAATTCAAATCTGTCACTTAGCCTCGGCAGATAGTCACCAATGTAGACAGTATCAACGAGACAGCTCACTAGGGTTTGGAACAGATTGTTCAAATCATATAGCCATCTGTAGATGCTATGAGGCTGAATTATGCCTGGTTCAAGCTCAGTTCAAGTCTTGCAAAAGTTTGAAACTGAATACTCAAGAGACTGGCAAGAGGACCAAGTACGGCCGAATCTCTGTGATTGGCTGGCTGAACCGAATCAGGCTGCGAGCTGATTGGCACCATAGAGAGAGGCCGCGTGAGTGGAACCGGCTCTGCCTAACAAAGCAGCCATCTTACAGAGCTGCCAACTGCCACCGAACCCTCCCCTTTGGACACGTGCAGACACACCACGGGGAGGGAGTGACTGCTACAGACACCACTGAGCAGCGTCCAAAAGCAGACAACAAAACAGAAGGGATTAAAAAGAAGAATGACGCCACTGGCAGATGACAAATTAGAGAGGAGGGACCAGAGAGTGTGCGGAGGTGGGGGATCTGAGGTAGGCTCAGAACACCTGCGGCTGCTTTTGATGAACACATGACAATTTGGAAGGATATCAACCGAGACGACAGGAACAGATGAAAAAGAGAAAGAACGTGACATGGCAAAAAAGAGAAAGCTTGTAAAAAGAGACACTGAAGCACCTGGAAATGGGAGAGAGCATTTGGCAGGGGGTCAGGCAGTTACCAGCTCTACAAATCGTTACTCTAATCCAAAATAACGTACAGAGAAAACACAGGGGTTAACCTGAAGGAAGGAAGGAAGGTAGGAAGGAAGGAAGGAAGGAAGACAAACAAAAAAGGGTCTGAAAGAAAAAAAAAGGTTTCAAACAGTATGGAGGAGTCGCTTTGGATCTGGAAGGACAGATACAAAATTAATCGCAAACAATAGAGAAATGAATAAATGATGGCGCATGAGAGAGGGTGGAATTGCACAGATGGGTGCGCGTGCCGGCGGAGGATATGGGTTTAGTGGGAGAAATGACTTCCTGTCCAACAGAAAAGTAGAGCGGAGGAGCGCTCGACGTAAAGTGGCTCGTGCGAGTGCGTGCGAATAGAGAATAGAGCGCGTGCACGCGTGCATGTGCCACATTTAGTCGGCGAGCGTGTTTCCCTTGGGGTAGAAGTGATCAGATTAAAGGATGGTTATTAATTTCTCAAATAGACTTAATTGGAACTTTTAGCAGGACAGCTGGTGAAGATCTGCTGTTTTTCCTCAAGTGAGAGTTGCGTGCGTGTGTGCGCGTTTGATATGCATGCATGAGGTCTTCTGTGCACTGGGATTAGTGCGTGGATGCAGGACCGTATGTATGATGGGGCTTGTCGGTGTTATCTGAAACAAGAACCAAATCTGGAAGGAGGTTCGGTAATAAGCCAGAGAAAGCAAGAGAGAAAACGAGAGAGAGAAAGGTAAAGAGAGAAGGAGGGATATAAACATCAAACATGAGCACTACACAAGGTGCTGGATTAGGAGAGGGGGATGAGGGAAGGAAAGGAAACGGAAAAGGAAGTGGGGGAGGAAGAGGAAGAGGAAGAGAAGGAGGAGGAGGAGGGCGGGGCGAGCTGTGTTTTTTATGTTCATTGTGGTCTTTACCTTTTTGGTCCACTTCTATTCAAGCATCGGAAAAAAGAGAGAGAAGACAGAGAGAGCAAAAGAAAGAGCGAAAGAGAGAGAGAGTGAAGATAATGAAAGAAAAAACAGGTGCAGGAAAAAAGAGAAAATTGAGATTAAATAAAAGGCTATCCTTTCTCAAATCACGTCATTCTGTCAGTGTGATGTAGGCTCTTTACAGAGAGGATGACTCGAGTGAGTAATGAGAGGGGAGAATGGCCTCAACTGCTTTTCACAAAGTTTCGCAAAACCCCTTCCAGTCTTCCTGTCACATGACACACATACACTTCCCCCAGTCACACGCACTCCGGCCCCTCTCCCCTCCATCCGTCTGTCATTCCTCTATCCATGCTTCTGCATCTTTGGGCTGCTGTGAGAGAAAGAACATGATGTATATTCGAAACGGCATAGCAGGCATACCAGTTTTGCAGTATACAGTGTGTATACTGTGCGCAGTATGTAAATTTTAACCTGGAATACCTGCATGGTTTGGCACATTTGCCGAAGATGTGTGCAACAGAGTGCACTGTGTGGAATAATGTATTCCATAATGCAATGCACTGTACTTGACTTTCTATGTTTAGCACCCAAATGTGCAAGTATGTGGATGTAAATGCTTCCAGTATGCAAGTTCTGTTTCATTTGACGTGTTGAGAAATGTGTCAGGTTGTAATTCATAATGCAACGCAAGTTCTTAGCATTGCCACAAGGCTGTATTACAGCAAACATTTTTTTAGGCCCCAAAATGTACAATGAAGAGGAATGTGAATGCAAATGCTTCTAGTATGCAAGTTCTATCTCATTTGTCACGCATTGCGAAATGTGTCAGGTCGCAAATCATAACGAAATGCAACACAACTTGTTAGCATTGCTACAAGGCTGTTATAGTGAACATTTTTAAGCCCAAAATGTGTCAAATGCAGAGGTATGGGGATGCAAATGCTTCTAGTACGCAAGTTGTAATACATTGGCCACAATTCGCAAACACACTGCAAGTTCTTAGCATTGCCACAAGGTTGTTATAGCAAACAATTTTAAACCCAAATTGTACAATGCACAAGTACGTGAATGCAAATGTGAGGTACGCAAGTAATTTGTCGCGCATTGCAAAATTAATCAGGTTGCACTTCATGATACAACGCAAGTTCTTAGCATTGCCATAAGGTTGTAATAGCGAACAATTTAGGCCCAAATTGCACAATACACAAATATGTGAATGCAAATGTTTCAAGTACGCAAGTTCTATTTAAATTGTCACGCTTTGAGAAATGTGCCAGGTTGCAATTTATAATACAAAGCAAGGTATTAGTATCGCCCAAAAGGTTAGCAAATATTTTTTAGGCCCAAAATGTACAACGCACAAGTATGTGAATGTAAAATATTGTACTACGCAAAATATATTTCATGTGTAATGCTTTGCTAAATGTGTCAGGCCACAATTTGTAGTGCACAAGGTTATGGCAAATATTTTTTAGGCCCAAATGTACAATGCACAAGTATGTGAATTTAAAATACTTTAGGTATGTAAATAAATAAATAAATAAATTGGCCTATGCTGTGTAGTAAGATGTGTGCTAGTATGCCATTTCGAATATATTCCCAAGTGTGCTGGAGTCTTCTGCAGCTGTGAGGAGGAAAAAAGGGTTAAAAAAAGAGACAGATTGATGCAGTGATGAAGAAGAGAGAGAGAGACAGAAGAGAGGTGATGGATAGGCTGATTTCTCTCTGAACCTGAAGAGGCTGGTTCTGGCTCGGCTGGGATCGGGCGAGCGAGCTGTTCTTTCTCTCTCACAGAGCTTGACCACTTATCGCTTCTACTCACTGAATCCATCAAGATCCAGCTGCCAGTCACTGATTGCGGTCTGTGGGACCATGCGGCTTGGCTGAGGTACATTTTTGAAAACCAGAAACTGGCTGAGAGGAGGAGAGAGGCCATTATAGTAAGGAAGAAGTTGGAGAGGAAAAAAATATATAGAGAGAGAGGTTGGCAGAACAGAGGAACATTTAATTCCCACTGTCTGCTGGAAAAAACAAGTTTGAGGTACACGTTTGCAGTGGTCAGTCTGGTTTTGGGAATATGGTAGATGGTTTGGTCCTGGCAAAAGGTCAGTTAAGCTAAGACGGTTAACCCACTCTAACCAGCTTGTCAAACATGGTCTGCCAGGTTGACCTTGTGCTAGTCACATATAGCAGGACTTTTGACTATCAGAGTAAAAGCTGCTCCACGCTGCAGCTTATTCTAACCAGGAACCACCTACTTAAGATGAGACAACAATTAGCACATTTTCACAAAAAGTTCCACTGTTCATTGTCAATAGTGTAGCAATGTATGAAGCACAGCTCACACAAAAGTCACTTTCAAACCAAGCTGCTTTTTGTTCGTCAACGCAGCAAGGCCAACTTGAACCTTTTGCTAAATCTGCTTGGGGAAATTTTCCGCCCTCATACTATTTTTTTTTATTTAACAGGGACAATGCAGAATAATATTACAGATGCTCTACATACAGGCTTCTAGCCAATGGCTAATTTTCAGCCCCAGTCTTGTTAGGCTTTTAAAATACAATTAAATATTACATAAAGAATGTAAAATAACAAGTACAATAAACGTAACAACAATCTAAGGCCCTGTCCACACGAACGCGGTTATTTTTAAAACCGCAGCTTTTTGTATGCGGTTTGGCCGTTCGTCCACACACAAACGCAGCACCAGCACTGTAAAATCTAATTAGTTGGGCTTACTTAAAAAAAGCATGCAAACCGATTGCCTCGAAAAAAACTAAGTAAAGTGGAATAGTATGTTGTACTGACAAATGCTTAGTTAGTATAGTTTACTTACACGAGAGTTCTAGTAAGAAAATAAATTAAATTGAATTGTTACCATTGCTGTGATTCACGTGCTGAATGTTTAAGTCTGTGTGTGACTTTAGCATATTACCTCACACTGTTTAAGGATTATATAAACCCAATTAAAAGCATCTCAAGGTATTTATGAAAAATTAAATTTGAAAAAGTTCACGAATAAACACAGGAAAATACACCAATTATTTAATTTGAACATAAGTCACCTTTTAAAAACAACCTATTTATTATTTTTCTTTCCTTGAAATCAAATAACTCTGACTTCATGATGCATTGCTGCATTAACAGGAAGAAAATTATAGTAACATAAACGAAATTCCAAGTGCCCAACCAAAGGGAACGCTAATCACTATAATGGTGCGTAAAAAAAAACACACATTTTAGGAAAGTGATTCACGTGCTGAATGTTTAAGTCTGTGTGTTGACTTTAGCATATTACCTCACACTGTTTAAGGATTATATAAACCCAATTAAAAGCATCTCAAGGTATTTATGAAAAATTAAATTTGAAAAAGTTCACGAATAAACACAAGAAAATACACCAATTATTTAACTTGAAGATAAGTCACCTTTTAAAAGCAACCTATTTATTACTTTTCTTTCCTTGAAATCAAATGAAGTTCCAAGTGCCCAACCAAAGGGAATGCTAATCACTATAATGGTGAATAAAATAAAAAAAACACATTTTAGGAAAATCAACATCAATTGAATATGAAGTTAGCTTATGTGATGTTCTCTCAAATATTTCAGTTGTATTGAAAATTCAACATTCAAGCTGACTTTGGGAAACGAGTGAATGCAACTAGTGAAAGATAACTGCAGGCATTGAGGAAATGGGTGAAAAGTCTATTAAGACTCTTTTTCTTTTATTCTTCTTCTGTTGTTATGTTGCACATTAGCAACATATTAGTGCACTGCTGCCTCTCACTGGTGTATTAATGTCATTGGTTCCTTTGTGGCTGTTTGAATATTTTAAGTAAGTGTCACTCAAAACAGTAAGTAAATTGTTTTATTTG